CAGTAGATCACTTTGTTCTAGTTGTTCTTTGGGAGCACAGTTTGAAAACTGCTGCTATAAAACGTATCTCTGTTACTTGAGATGACCATCCATCTTTTTACTGACTGCAAAGGGGCACTAATCACTAGAAATCAGCATCTATACGAACCTGGAAGTGTGCATGCTAATATCCTACTAGTTAGACAATAAGCTCATTTCCTCTAAAAACAGCATATTGAGTATTTGGGTTTCAGAATGATTTATTTTCTCTAAAAGGCATTTTTACTAAGACACTGATCCAAGGACCTGCCAGTGAAGTCCAAATTTTACCCTAGTGCTGCTGCAAACACCTACACACAGAGGAGAAAAAGTCACAAGGCAACCTTCTAAAGGCTGGGTTGGTAAGAAAAACGCCCTAAGGAGGCTCAAAACGTTCCTCCAACGGAATGTTTCTCAATCTTAGCCTTACTGACATTTTGGGCTGGATAACCCCTCACTGAGGGGAGCAGAGCCCGTAGCACCCCCACCCCAGTTGTGTCAACCAAGTATGTCTCCAGACAGGCCAAATGCACCAGGAATGAAGGGGTTGGGGAACCAGGCAAAAGAGCCCTAGTTGAGAACCCTGCTCAAAGAGGAGAAAAATACCTGCTTAAAAAGAGAAGTGACAGCTAGAGAAATTTCTCAAAGCATACCAAGGTTAGGCCAGTCAATCCATTTCATTCTGGGAAATGAAAGTCCTACCTTAACAACCAACTAGCTCATCCAAAATCAAAAATCCGTTTACCTGCCAAGTTCCTAAAGCTCACATAAAATCAATGTGGTTAGAAATCAAGAATTCTAATCGGAAAACTTATAAAGAAAATCATTAGTAACTTAAGGAAGTTTTAAGACGATAAAAGCACACTCAAAAACACACTAAGTGCTTTTCGAGACCTCAAGGCAAACTCTCGAGATGGCAAATTGGTTTTATCTTCTCTGCCAACTCCAGTCAACTGGTGGTGGCTGCGTGGAGCCCAGGATTGAGCAGGATTCTGAGAGCTCAAGGAAAGAGTATCTGCATCGAACATCAATGTCTGCCACAAACAGGCAAGGGGCCGTGGTTAACAGGTATGCCTCACATCCACCTTCTTGGTGTTGAACTCAACTTTCTTTATGCTCAAAATAATACCCATCAAATTTGGCAGTAATAAAACATTTTGGGGGAAAAAAGTAACCCTCCAGAGTGCCACCAGACTTAACCTAATTCAGGGGCAAAAAGAAAAAAAAAAAAAGAGGAAGAAGAAGAAGAAATCTGATCCTGTCACTCTCCTGCTTAAGAATCAGCCCTGGATTCTCAGCTTCCATAGGATAATGTCCAAACCAACAGAGCCTACAAAGGCATTCACAATCCACCTACAACACACTTCTTCCAAATTTTCTGCACCCCCATCATTCTCCACGGTGTAACCAGCCACCAAACGTCTCACTGTTCCCCCAAAACCACATGCCCTTTCATGCCATCTCCACCCCTTCTCTGCCTGGCTAATTTCTATTCATCCTGCAGACCACTGCGCTGTGATGCTTTACTTGTTCCCTAGAACAAGTGTTCCCTAGAACAAGCATTCCCTGGACCTACGGCATCAGCATCACCTGGGAGTTTGATAAAAATGCAGAATCTCAGACTCCACCCCAGCTCCACCAAATCCAAAACAGCTTGGTAACAAGATGCCCACGTGAATATGTGCACATTGACCTGTAAGAAGTGATGTCTTGGGCGCCTGGGTGGCTCAGTCGTTAAGCGTCTGCCTTCGGCTCAGGTCATGATCCCAGGGTCCTGGGATCGAGTCCCACATCGGGCTCCCTGGGATCGAGTCCCACATCGGCCGGAAGCCTGCTTCTCCCTCTCCCACTCCCCCTGCTTGTGTTCCAGCTCTCGCTATCTCTCTGTCAAATAAATAAATAAAATCTTAAAAAAAAAAAAAAGAAGTGATGTCTTGGGGAACGTACCAGGTCTCACTGGACTCAGTTCTTCACAGGCAGGTACAGTGTCTTCCCAAAATCAAAGTGCCTCACACATTGGCAGGTTGCCTCTGAGGCAAATCCCTCCTTTAGTAAGGGAAACCCAAACATCCACCTTCCAGCCTCCATGGCAGCCAGAGGTGGCCAAGTGACATGGTTGTAAGTCAATGAGATGTCAGCAGAAGCCTGCTGAGGGGACGCTTCTGGAAGAACTTTTATTTTCCCAGTGACTTCCTGCCTTGACAAACATTAAGGATAAAAAGCCAAAGACGTAATAAGGACAAAATAGCTAAGAACAACAGAGCGGAAACACAGAAATGGTCTGAGTCCCTGTGGGCCCTTCAAGCCACTGTACCACATTAGAACGTGTACCTCCAGACTTACTGTTTGAGCCGATTCAACATCTTTATTGCTTAATACAATCATCATTAGGGCTTCCTCTTTCTTGCGCTGAATGCATTACTAACTGATGGAGTAAACCCTCAATAAATGGGAAGTGAATGAATGCAATGCGAAATCCACTAAAGGTTCAGAAGGTTATATGTTTTATTTTATTTTTTAAAGATTTTATTTATTTATTTGACAGAGAGAGACACAGCGAGAGAGAGAACACAAGCAAGGGGGAGTGGGAGAGAAGCAGACTTCCCACAGAGCAGGGAGCCTGATGCGGGGCTCGATCCCAGGACCCTGGGATCATGATCATGACCTAACGACTAAGCCACCCAGGCTCCCCTAGAAGATTATATGTTTTAAAATAAGACCTCGAAGAATCTGTTCAACTTTGCCAAAGCATGCTTATAAATCAGCCTCTGCATTTCTAGAATTATTGACCCATTTCTGTTCACAGCTTGTTAATGGATTAAAAAAAAAAACCTTTTAAAATGCAATGGAAATGTTCACGTACAAAAATGCTGTAGAAATTGATTTTTACATTTTGGAAAAAGTAGAAAACCAAACTTAAAACACTGGGCTCTGACCTTGAAAAGTTTGCAATTGCTGTGGCTACTGAGAGGCAACTATAAGCAAAGAGAAAAAAAGAGAAGGAAAAAGACTTAACAGTAGCTGGTTGGTTGCCGTTCTCTCCTACTTTCTTATTTTGAGATCTCTGACTGACATGGATCTCATTTTTTTCCAGTCCCTATCCCAGTCCAGTATTTCTATTCAAATTTCCAAAATCAAACAGCAATCACTTTTTTTTTTTGAGAAAAACAGAACATTAATAAATATAAATGAAATGTATTAAAAGGGGACGGGTGCACTTGGGCAGTATTATTCCTCAGCAAGGTGGGTCCTCAACCAAGTGCTGAATCCTCAGATTATCATTTTGCATTTTACTAAAATCATTTATTTTTACTTAAATAAATTTTAAAAGAAACTTTACAGCACCAATGGAAAGCCAGTATCATTTGCCACAAACAGAGGACAAATGTAAAAACAAAGACAATGAAAACACAACCTTATTAAATCCTAGCTACTGTTACCTGCCGAGGCCTCTAAACTTAAAGCTTGTTCTGTTAAAAAAAGAAAAAGAAAGGTGGGGGTGTGAGCATGAGGTGTTAAAGTCAGACGACCACCAAGCTAAGACCTGTTCTTGGGCATAATCAGAACAGACAGAATGGAAAAGGAATTAACTTCCTACCATGTGATTTCATTCTATTTAACACCATATCCATGTCCCACCCCAAAGTATCCCTCATACAATTTCAAACCATCTTCCCTCTTTTTTGCTCAGAATAAGAGCCCATTTCCCTAGTGCAGCCTAAATGGCCCTACACAATCTGGCCCAGCCCACCACGCGGCGCTCATCTGAGCTCCAATGGCACCAGCAGACAGCAAACAAGAACCCAACGGCCTTACCCTAGCCCACTGCCTGTTTTTGTTATGGCCTGTGAGCATAAGAACGGTTTGTAGAGATAAATATTTGTAATCAATTTGATGACAGGGAACACTAATTTTGAACTCCAACTCCAATGTTATCCCTTCCAAAAAAAAGAATCCCATTCCTCTCATTAGTAGACCCCTATTACAAAGTACTGTACTCATATTTTTATCTTAGTCAATGAGAAATTTGTGGAAATTTGTTTTCTCTTGTTATATAAGTACCTACATATTAGCCTCAGTTTTGCATCTTGACCATTTACTATATGGTCCTTTACAGAAAGAGTTTGCGGATCCCAGAGCTACACTGTTCAAGCGCACTAGGCTCTCGCGCTTTCACACTTTCCTTACACCTGGGAAGCAATTCCCCCCGACCTCCTCAAGGCTGGTTCTCCCGGGTTACTCAAGTCTCAGTTCAAATGTCACCTCTTCCAAGAGGTCACCCTAACCCTGCCCCCTCCCCCATTTAAAGTAGCCTGCCAACACATCAATCACAACACCAGATTTTACTTTCTTGGAACCACTGATACTGCCTTCTTACTTTACTGAAATCTTTAATAATAAAAACAATAACGCAGCAAATACACATGGTACTATGTACGACGGAAGCGATTTACATACCAGGTTGAACGCTTTAAAAGTGCCAACCTGTAAGTCAAAAACGATCAAAAATGGGTGACCTCATTGGGTTCAACCTAACATATCAACCTGTTTGCTGCTCACAACCACCTATGACGTAGGTACTAGATGAGAAAACTGTCACAGAGGTTCAGTCACTTGCCCGAGGTCACACTGCTAGTAAGTGGCAGAACGAGGATTTGAAGCCAGGCTCAACACTCCCACCCCCAAGAATGTAAGTTCCATGAAGGCAGCCGGTCTTGTTCACTGCCATAGCCCTCCAGGGCCCATCACAGAGCCAGGCACGTAGTAAGCCCTTAATAAACACGATGAATGAATGGGTGCGTCTCCCTTACAATCAGTGGCATCGGTCCTAGACTCGGGGCCCACACCTCTTTAGATCCGGGCGCTGGTTAGCCAGCTGGCCGCGCCGCCAGGAAAGGAGGAATGGAAGACTTTGAGAGACGGTGCCCCAGGGACGCGGGGTGCAGGGCCCCCTCCTGGGGTGGGGACGCGGCGGGGCTCACCTTGAAGTCGCGGCTGTGCTGCGGGGTGTACTCCAGGGTCCAGAGGGCCCGCACCAGGTGCGCCAGCTGCTCGGTGACCTCGCCCTGGCCCTGCGTGCCGCGGCCCACAGGCTGCTCAGGGTCGGGCGAGGGCTCGGGTCGCCCCGCCCGGTACTGGCCGAGGGCCAAGTACTCGGCGAAGAGCTCGGTGTTGCTGAGACACTGCAGCGTGGCGTTCATGAAGCACGTGTTGCCGTGGTTCCGGAGCCCCGCCACCCCGGGCACCGGCTCGGCGGCGGAGGCGGGCGGCGCGGGCGAGGCGGGGGGCGGCGGGC